AAATTGAAGAAATTAACAAAGCCAACTAAGCCTTGTAAGATATATCTCGACCCCCTGAAAAACTCTCAAACGCGCGAACACATAACACAGCAAATAAATAGTAAAATACACAGAATATCAAATAAACCAAACGAAAACAGAACCATTAACGAATGCTGGTATGCCATTCAAAACTCGATTTTAGAGAACGTACAAGAGTCTTTGAAAACACCTACCATGTTGGCAAAAAATGAGTGGATGACACAAGAAATTCTAGATCTGATGGAACTTCGACGGCAACACAAAAATAGAAATATTATCGAATATCGTGAAATTAATAAACGCATAAAAAGAAAAATTAAGCAAGCCAAAGAATCCTGGCTTGAGAAATGATGTAAAGAAATAGAAGACCTCCAAAAAAAGCATGACAGCTTTAACCTGCATAAGAAACTTAAATATACTGCCGGAATTAGAAAACAGAAAAATGCTCACATACTTAAAAGCGCGGACGGAAAAATTTGTGATCACGAACAAGAGTGCAAAGAATGGGAGAGATACATCAATGACCTTTTTGACGATGCTTCTAAGGAAAATGCTCCAAATACTGCCTATGACAACCAGTTGGACAGAGGTCCTAATATACTGAATTCGGAAGTCGAAAAGGCAATACAGCAAGCCAAAAACAATAAAGCACCTGGACCAGATCAAATCCCTGCCGAACTACTTAAGGATGGATACTTCTGGATGAGGAAAGCATTGCCTGCTTAACCACTTTCTTCAACAAAATTTACAACGAAGGAAAAATACCAGATGATTGGTTAGAGTCACTGTTTATAACATTACCAAAGAAAAGCAGGCCCACCAAATGCAGCGATTTTAGACTAATCAGTTTGATGAGTCACACAATGAAGATACTCTTACGAATTATACAAAACCGAGTATTCCTTCTATGCGAAAGTAAGATGGGTGATAAGCAATTTGGATTTAGAAACGGTCTAGGAACTATAGAGGCACTATTCTGTATGCGCGTTCTATAACAAAAAAGTTGTGAATTCCGAAAGAATGTTTATGTTTGTTTCATCGACTTCGAGAAGGCGTTCGACAGAGTCCAACACAATACACTTTTCAACTGCCTACGGGCAGCAGGACTTGACCACTATGATATAAGACTGCTGAAATACTTATATTACAATCAAGTAGCCTCTATCCAAATTGGAGACAGTCCCACTGAAAAAATACCCATCAAACGTGGAGTACGGCAGGGTTGTGTTTTGTCACCCACTCTTTTGAATCTGTACTCTGAAGAAATCTTTAGGGAGGCTTTGGATGACAGACAAGAGGGAGTAAGACTAGGTGGAGAAGTAATCAACAATATTAGATACGCTGACGATACAGCCATTCTTGCAGAAAGTTTACAAGATCTCCAAACATTACTAAATCTAGTCAGTGAAGCAAGTTATCGGAGAGGCCTAAAAATCAACATTTCAAAGACAACGTGGATGGCAGTTGGAAAGATCCATATAGATCAAGGTCTGCTTTCTCTTAATGGAGAAGAGATAGAAAGGCTAAATCATTTCAAATACCTTGGCAGCTGGTTAAATGTAAATTGTGACTCTGATGAAGGGATAATATCCAGGATCGAAATATCACGTAAGGCTTTTATGACCTGGAAACCAGTTTTATGCAACAGAAACCTGTCAATGAACATTCGTAAGAAGGTCCTGAAATGTTATGTGTGGTCGATCCTATTGTATGGTTGTGAGACATGGACGTTAAAAACCACAATGCTAAACAAGTTAGAAGCATTCGAAATGTGGTGCTATAGACGAACCCTAAAGATATCGTGGGTTTCGCACACTTCCAATGAAGATGTTCTTCAAATGATCAACTCAGAACGTCTGCTCATAAACACCATAAAGAGGAGAAAAACAGAATACTTCGGCCATAAATTAGAGGACCCAAATACCATTTACTTCGCCTTATAATACAAGGAAAAGTGGAAGGAAAGAGATGGATTGGTCGAAAGAAACTTTCATGGCTGCGTAATATTAGACAATGGTGTGGTTTCACAGTAGAAGAATTATTTCGCGCAGCAGCCGACAGAGAAAGGTTTCAGGAAACTGTAAACATGATGACGGCCAACGTCTGAATACGGACACGGCACCCAAAGAAGAAAGAAGATTATAATCTAGTTTCAAATAAAATTAATGCATGCCATAAAATTTTACAATCAAATAATAATATTGATATTTAAATTCAAGAGTTTTCCAATGTATTATTAAATGCTGCCGAAAAAGCCGTTGGTAAAATCAATTCCAAACAATTAAATTCGTCAGTTCCTTGATGGAATTCTGAATGTCAAAAGGCTAATAAACTTAATATCAAAAACAGGATTAAATCAATTCAGGATAGATTCAATAAATAGAATTCAAAAGAAGTAAACGTGAATCATGGAAAAAATTTGTTTCAGAATTAAATTCATCTACACCAATTAATAAAGTGTGGCAAATGGTACGGAAGATATCCGGGAAAATACCCCAAACCACATTAACTTCTTAGAAGAAAAACAAAAAATATACACTTCCGCTCTAGGCATAGCCTAGACTAATAATTTTGAAAGATTCTCAAGCAATGATGTTCTGCCTCCAGGCTTTTTGACCAAAAAAGACAGAGAGGAATCCAAAGGTATTGAAAAGGAATTAGAATACTCACTCAATAATACGAAAAACTCTTCTCCCGGTCCTGATATCATTCCTGCAATATTTCTCCAAAAACTTCCTTCATCTGCAAAGAAACACTTGCTAAATATTTATAATAGTATATGGAGACATAGCAAGTTTCCAAAAATCTGGAGTTCATCTATCGTCATCCCTATTTATAAACAAAATTAACCAAAATGTCTGTCACATTCATATATATCTGTTTCTCTAACTTGTGTAATGTGTAAAGTTCTCGAGAAAATCATATCCAACAGATTAATGCGGTTTTTAGAAAATAATAAATTACTTCCCCGGAGTAAAGCGGATTCCGGAAAAATCGTTCAACACTGGATAATCTTATTTTAATTACTTTAGAGTTTGATATTCATGAAGCAGTGGCATGTGGACAAAATGTAACGCAGTATCTTTTGAAATAACTAGAGCATATGATACAGTTTGGCCACATGGTATTATTCAAACACTTTGTCGATGGGGAATAAAAGGTAATATAGCACAATTTATAAAAAAATTCCTATCTCGTCGAACTTTCAATCTACTAGTTTATGGTATTTTATCTAAAACAAAAAATAAAAGAAAACGGAATTCCCAAGGATCTAATTTAAGTGTCTCCCTATTTCTTATTGCAATAAATAATATTATCTCCACTTGTGACTTACCCGTAAAATCTAGACTCTTTGCAGATCAGAAATAAGCTTTTTATCAAAATATGTTGTGAAAATTAAATATCTAGGCATGACATTTGACAACAGATTATCCTGAAACCACCATGTTCATGATCCAAAAAGTACGTGTCAATCTGCATTTAACATTATAAAAACTATTGCACACAATACGTGGGGAGCAGATAGTAAAACACTGACCCTTATGTACAACGTACAAGTCATTGATCTGGTCCAAACTCGATTACGCTTGTATTATTTATGATTCAGCAAAATCCTATGATTCCTGTTAACCACTGTAAATTCAGACCTTTTTAGGAATATCTTTAAAACACATGCTAAGCTTGACCTTCCTTTTTATGGAAGGGTAAATAGATAGCTCAATGTACTTGAATTCAAATTTCCAGATACCTATTGTATACCAGATATTAACACCTTGGACTGTTCCCATCCCATCTATCAATACCAAACTCTCCACATATAAAAAAGCAGATAACCATCCCAAAGCATTATATATATTATATGTTCTCCAAGAACTCAAGACATACAGTAACCATATTCTTATATACCAGTGCCTCTAAAACTATAGACGGAATGGGAGCAGCATTTATGTCTAATGAAACAAAAATATTAATGAAACTTCCTAAATTAACATCCATTTACACAGACGAGTTAACCGCTTATTCTCAACGCAATAAATTTTATGTAAGAAAATAGTATCAAAAACCCTGTCAATATTACGGATACCCTAAGTTCTATAATTGTCCTAAGTAACTTATATCCTAACCATCCAAGTCTACTACTTATTAAATCAGCATTAAGCCAACTGCAAACTATGAACATAAATGTCAACTTTGTATGAATTCCTTCCCATATCTTAATTGATTGTAATGAAGAAGTAGATTCCTTGGCAAAACTAGTAATCTCGAGTCCGGAAGCTGTAAACCTATAATCAAGAACTAAATAGTCAATGATTGGCAGACCAAGTGAAATCAGTCAAGATCCAAACTAAGAGAAGTAAACCATTCTATATAACCTTGGAAATCAACCCCAAATAAGCGTATACATCCAACTCATCTCGTCTGAGAATAGGCCACAGCGCCATCACCCATAAACATCTGCTGGAGAGTAAATTAAAGCCACAGTGCTACGTATGTGATATTGTGCTCAGTGTTCGCCATATAAGTGACGGAATTGATATGAAAAATTTGACATCATACTTATATTCCATAAATGTACTAAATAAAATATGTACATAATAAACACCAATGACCCTATGAGGTTGAGCCGTAAATAAACAAAAAAAGATGCATAAAAAATAAAAGCAAATTTAGAAATAAAGTGATTTTAAAAACAACTCCATCATGTATGCACTTACAGTCAAACTGACAAATGGAAATCAATAAGATGCCTCTCATTTATTAAGCTGAGAAGATAAGCAAATTGTGGTAAAAATACCGAAAAAAGATTGCACAAAATAAGAATGTATCCATCCGATTATAGTATTTTTACTGGTCTATAAGTGTTATACTATTACACATAATTATTGCAAAGAAATAAAGAAAAGACGTCCCCCTTCTCTTCGGCATCCTCCCACTGAAGATACCGCTATAAAAGTGTTTATATTTGCAGCATCCTTTTCAATAGAAGTTTCAGTGCCGGTTCAAGGGGATATTTCTCATTGAAAGTGACTGAATTTTTGGATGTACTGCGGACTTTGTGTGGATATTGATAAGGCAGGAATATGAGCATTAAGGTAGGATTCTCAAAAGTGGCTTAAGCGGTGCGCGGAGTTTATTATTTTTTTCACGGAAGTGGTAACATTGTGGGGATTTAGTGTGAATATTTTATATTGTGCATTTAAAAACAATACAATAATATCGTTATAATTAATGTTTTAAACACTTTTTTTTTAACAATATTGCACTATATGAAAAATATAATACTATACGCAGTTTAAGATCCTCACTTCACTCGTAATGTCCAATGAGATTAAAAAAAAATAATAATAATCAAAGTAATATAAAACTGTGTAGCAATTTTCTCTTTAAATTCAACTGAGCTTATATTAATTTATACATTTGTACTTTTTGCGTTTATTGTATCGTAAATCTTATGTGAATCATAAGACTTTGTAATAAATTGGAAACTAGAATAATTTATAATTTGGGACACAAAAATTAAATGATTTGCTAATTAAAGCACTACAAATTTTTCGATGTTGACACACCTTTGCAATTTATGGGTTGTCTGGTTAATTGATTTACATGAAAAGAATTGTTCGTCTAAAATGGCGATTAAAAATTATGTCCATTTATGTATTTTATCGATTTCGATAAACTTCAACAATTGTTCTCTTTGTTTGTCCGATGTAAATTTATGAACAATATTTAGATGAGTTTCTAAATATTTCCAAACTCTTAATTCTTATTATTTTATGAGTTTATAGGTTAAAATTAATATGAAACAATTTTTATGGTTTTATGATTTATTAGATAGATAGATAGATAGATAGATAGATAGATAGATAGATAGATAGATAGATAGATAGATCTTTATTTGAATAGAAACCCTAATATACATACAATATAAAGAAAGTTTTTGATATATTGTTTAAGTAACAGTTTAAAATTATCAATACTAGTACATTTTTTTACAGATGTTGGTAACTGATTAAATTTAACGAAGCTTTTAAAAAAGAGCGAATTCATCCTACTTTTATACATAGTTCTAGGTACATATATGTCACCTAAACCTCTGGTATTATCAGAATGAATACTTTTTTTGAAAAAAATGAATTCTTGAAAATATTCAGGTGATAAGCCATTTACTATTTTGAAGACCAAAATCATGGTGAAATAAAACAGCCTATTTTCAACAGAGAACCAATTTAGAGCATTTAACATCGTCCCAATTTGGGTACGGCGATTTGTTTTAAGAATTATTCTCATTCCACGGTTGTGTAATTTTTGTAGCATGTTAAGTTTGTTAAGGTTAAATAAATATAAAATTGATGAGCAATAGTCAAAACGAGGTTGAATAATTGTGTTACATACTGTTATTTTTGTACTACTACTACTAAGGATTTCCACAGTTTTCACTGTCTTCCTTCACTCAACCTTTTTCTCCAATTTTCCTTGTCATTCCAGTCTCCATCTCGCAGGGTTCTTTTCTCCATATCCTCGTCGATTTCGTCTCTGAATGACCTTCGGGGTCTTCCTCTCTTTCTTCTTCCGATCGGCCTCCATTTTGTGATTTTGTTTATCCAGCGTCCTCTGTCCGCTCTTCTGACGGGGCCGTACCAGGATAGTCTCTTCTCCTCTATATAGTCAATTATGTCTGATTGCACTCCCATTCTCCGCTTAATCTCTGCGTTTTCAATTCTGTCTCTTTTTGTAAGTCTACAGCTTCTCCTCAGGAACTCCATTTCCACTGCTCTTATTCTACCTTTATTTCTCTTGTTTATTGTCCAGTTTTTCGGACCCATATGTCAGGATACTTCTTGTCAGGGTATTATATATTCTCTTTTTTGTCTTTATCGTAATGTTCTTATTCCACAGCACTGAATTTAGTTGTCTTATACAGTTTCTTGTTTGTCTTAGTCTGTTATTTATAGCTTCTTCTGTTGTTCCCTGGTTCGATATCATGGTTCCTAAATACTTGAATTTATCTGTTCCATTTACTTGTCTTCCCTTGTCTATCTCTAGGTTTCTCATATCCTTGTTTTCTGTTGTTAGGTATTCGGTTTTCTCTAAGTTTATTTCCATTCCGTTGTTTTTATATTCCTCTTCTAGTTTTCTGAGCATAAAGCTGAGATCTTCTTCATCTTGTGCGATGACTACTTGATCGTCGGCAAAACTTAAGGTGTATAGGTATTCGTCTCTTACTGGTATGCCCATTCCTTCGCACTTTCCTCCTCCATGGTTTGAGTGTCTTTTCCAAGAATATTTTAAACAGAGTAGGGGACGTAGCACAGCCTTGTAGAAGTCCTTTTGTCGTCTTAAATGGATTGTAGGCTTTATTTTCACATTTAATAGCTACTTTGTTTTCTTTGTACAGTGCTTTAACTGCTTTTATTAGTGTTTGTCGAATTCCGAGATCATTCATTGCTTCCCATAATTTGACTCTAGGTATTGAGTCGTATGCTTTCTTTAGATCAAAAAACGCCAGATGAACCGGTCTACCTTTTGCCATTTTCTTCTCTATCAGTTGTTCTAATGTGTACGTATCTAGGCATGATTTTCCTACTGTAAACCCTGCTTGGTCTTCTCCAATTTTTCCTATTATTTCAGTTTCTAGTTTTTCCTTACTAATTTTCCCGTAAAGTCTACCTACCGACGATATTATACTAAGTCTTTCGACGTTGTCCGATGCCTAACTTCCACGTCCTTCTATCATCCCATTGGCCGTCTCTAAGATCTCTTGTACTCATTGCTTTAGTTACCCCTTCTTTCCATGTCTTTTTGGGTCTTCCTCGTTTTTTGGGGTTTGGTGGTACCCACTGCATAATCTTCTTGGGTAGTCTTGGGTAACCCGTCTTGGGTAACCCGTACTATCGATGTTTAAATCTTTAAAATCCGTGAGAAACTTTGGAAAGGGTGTTTAACCTTTGACAGTTATTTGACATATATATTGGCGTATATGTTCGTATGATCTGTATACAGTGCGTGGCAAAATTAGTGGTCTGTAATCTGTACTAGTGGGACATTGGTCTATAATTTTATTATGATACAGAATATTCAAAAAAGTTATTTAGAAAAAATGTAGGCTGTCACCGAGCAGGTTAAAAGGGGCTAATATGTAACTAACTATTCATTATCTCAAGCGTTTTACTTATGTTTACTATTATTTTTAAAAGTGCTAAAAAATACAAAATATCTTTTTTTTTGTGTGTGTTTTTGGCTTGGACAATTGTCATTCAGCCAGTCTCAATCAAGATAACTTTATTACAAATTATCTTAAAAAGGGGAACTATAAAGTATAAAAAATACTATTTAAAAAAATTAGTTTGTTCAATAAATGTTTCTCATAAATTTGGTAACGTAATTTTAAAAAACGTATTCAAACAACAAACTATCGAATTTTAATGAATTATAAATAAGTAAGAATAGCGAAAAATTCCAAATAAGCTTAAATGTCATGAATGCCAACTTACAAATTTTTACTTTTGACAATTTATTTATTATTGATAGATACCTGAAAAAATGTAACAAGTATATAGAAAATTAATTTAAAAATGTGATATTTTACTGGTGTTATAAATAAACCATAGAGAAATAATATAGTTATACATTTTGCTTAGATTTTGAATTTCTGATCTTTTCTTTAAATTATTTTCACTTCTGCTAATATAAACCATTTTTAGAAAGTCCTTTTGAATTTATTATCTTCATTTCACACAATTTTAATATAATCAAAATCCATAATATGGTTTTTGTCGATTACATGCTCTGCTAAGGCACAAGATGGTTTTTTTATTCTATAATCACTTTTGTGGGAAATAATACGATTTGACAGATCTATTCTGGTACCATCAAGATACACAGCTTGACACTGAGTACAATCAATGTTGTATACATTTGTGTTATCTAATTTATCTATAGGATATTTGGTTTTATAATATCAAGATCAAATAGTTTTGATGTTCTTTGTTGCTATTTTTATATTTTCAGTAACCTTTAGTATTTGTTTTAATTAAGGTGTTGATGATGGTATATATAAGGTAGTGAATGATAATAGATTGTTGGATACAATGTTCTGAGAAAAGCATCATATGAAGCATATCTAGAGGAGAATAGATCCTCTTGTAGATAATCTGAATGAGAAAGCTTTAAAACACGTTCTTTTTAATCCTGTTATAATGTTAGTTTTCATCTTGTTTGGATAATGTGAGTAGAAGCTTATAAATCTATTACTACATATGGGTTTTCTGAACCATCTGGTTTTCAATACATTGTCTGCAGTTCTTACAATTCTCATGTCAAGGAATGGTAAAGAATTTTAGAAAACTTCCGCAACTGTGAACTGTATTATATTGAATATGATTCTTGAAAATGTTAACTGTTTCATGAATTTTGTGTTTAGAAAGTGCAAAAACTAAATCATCTTTTAATTAAAGGAATGAAAAAAGTGCAATTGTGGATACAATCACTGATAACATCATTAAGGTAATAAATTCAAAAGGACTTTTTTAGAAATGGTTTGTTTTAGCAGGAGTCATAATAATTGAAAGAAAAGATTCTTCTTCTTAGAGTGCCGTCTCCCTACGGAGGTTGGCAATCATAATGGCTATTTTTATTTTAGAACTTGCTGCTCTAAACAAATCAATCGATCTGCATTGGTACCAATCACGTAGATTCTTTAACCATGAGTTCTGCCTTCGGCCAACAGATCTTCTTCCTTGAATCTTTCCCTGTATTATCAGTCTCAAAATTTCATATTTTGGTCCCCTCATCACGTGGCCTAGGTATTCCAGTTTTCTGGTTTGTATAGTGGTGATTAGTTCTGTTTCTTTACCAACCCTCTCCAGTACTTCTTTATTTGTAATTCTATCAGTCCATGATATTTTCAATACTCTGCGGTATAACCAGAGTTCGAAGGCCTCGATTCTTTTTAAATTACATTTTTTTAATGTCCAAGTCTCAGCTCCATATAATAATATTGAAAATATATAACAGCGAATGGTACGTAGTCTGATCTCCAAATTTAGATTTTTGCACGTTAGGAGTGGCTTCATTCGTATAAATGCTGATCTGG